GAGAGAGAGAGAGAGAGAGAGAGAGAGAGAGAGAGAGAGAGAGAGAGGAGGGTGGGGAGATCTGCTGCAGCAAACTCCTTGGGAACCAGTGAGAGCTTTAGTGTCTCTAAGGAGAGCTCTTGGCTTTCAGACCTCTCCTGGGGTGAAGAGCGCTGGGACCTAGGCCTCTAGGAGAGAAGACAGAAGCTTTGGCCAGGGTATGAGGGCACCTCTCAGTATTTCCACTTATCCCAGAGCCATTATGAAGAGTCTTGGTCCAAACTTCAGTAACCATAGGAGATGGGCAATTGATTTACCTTCTTCAGGACTTAATTTCTCCATCTGAGGAATGGGAACAATCATCCTTGCCATGCCTGTTCACAAGATTGTGGAAGCATCCAAAGTGCTTGGTGTGGTGCTACTCAGGGGTGAGGAGAGGCAGAGAAACGGCTTTCCTCCCAAGTGAGCCACCATAAGCACCTCTCCTTTCAGGCTCGGAGACCACCTGGGATGGTTGCCTTGACAATTCGGCTTGGCTGGTCCCCACTCCATCTTTGGTTTCAGCTTAAATGCTAGCCCTGCAAAGAGGCCTCCCAGACTCTGAGACACAGTCTCCTCTTGTCAGCTCCTGTTGGTAATTCCCTTTGTAGCACATCTCAGTTGAATAGTGTAATCGACCCGAATGATGATTTACTTTCTCTACTAGATCTTAAGCTCCACCAGGGAAGGGAAGTTTCCCTTGCACACCCAGCCATCTTATCAGCAGGAACACTGCCTCAGGCACTTGGCAGATAGGACTGGTGTATAAGATTCTGCTGAGCCAGCCAAGGCCGAGACTGCCTCAAGTACTTTCCATGCCTCACCCAACACCTAGGAGGCAACAACTGGGGCTCAGTGCCATCGATCCCACCCCCTGACCCCACCCCTGCTTATAAAAACCTTGTTAGCAGGGCATGGTGGTACATACTTGTAATCCCAGCAGTGAGGAGGCTGAGGCAGGAGGATGATCAATTCAGGGCCAGGCTGGGATACATAGCAAGGCTCTATCCTTTAAAAATAATTTTTTAAAAAAGGCAACAGGAAGGTTAGTTATCTCTCTTCTCTCTCCATTCAAGGAAGAAGCTGGCTAGATAACAGCTGCTGCTTCTTTCCACTCTCTCAGCACTTCAGGCCCTGCCCAGGACCCAAAGCTGGAGGTAGTGGCTCTATTTATCTTTGCACAAGGCTGCCCTCTGCTGGTTGCACATGCAAGAACTCAGTGGCCAGAAACCAAGAGTCTGAGGCAAGAGCCAGGGAAGAGGTGTTAGCTTGAAGGTGAGAAGTTAAACCAGTTCCCTCCTTCTGGATGGATCCCTCCAAATGGAACAGGAGACCATTCTCCACTGCTAGGAAAAGCAAGAAATGAAGGACCATACCATAGAGACTCTACTCACCTGCCAAAGTAGAGTAGGGTCAGAGAGGACTAGTTTAACCATAGGTTCTTGTCCTTAGTAGTGTGTGTAGCTAGCTCTACACACACACACACACACGCACACGCACACACACACACCAGAAACAGTAAGAGACTCTCTCTTATACACACACATTCTCTCTGTGTCTCTGTCTTTCTCTCTGTCTCTGTCTCTCTTACACACACACACACACACACACCCTAGTTTACAGCATTCATAGATTTCCATGCTGTAAATCTCCCAAATGGCCGGTTTCAAACACCAACACGAGGCCACCAAATGATCTGGGGAGACGGTCCTGCAGCACGCCATTGTATGGAATGTCTACCATGAAGCTGCCATGCACACAAATAACTTCAAAATAGGGGAAACTCATGGGGAAGTGGCGAGTTTTGAGAGTTCGTTCCAGTTGTTTTCAGTACAATATATTTAACTGCAAGGTTATATAATTTAATTTTTCATAATGGCTGTGTTTAACAACTGAACTGCAAAATTCTGGAAAATGTAATTATCAGTCTTGTCAGCCTACCAGTCAGAAAGACCAGGCTCCAGCACACTGATGATTCGTCCCCTCCCCTCCCCCTCCATCCTAGCTTCTGTCCCTCGGCTGTCTCCTCTTTCTTTCATGGTTCTCCTGGAATTCTGTGTGGGAAGATGGGTATGGAGAGTGCCGAAAAGATCTCTATGGTGGATACTGCTGTTCTCTGAGTCAGGAACCATAGGTGTAAGGAAAGAGGGAGAAATGCAAATTCAGTGGCTGAAGGCTCTCTCTCTCTCTCTCTCTCCCTCTCCCTCTCCCTCTCCCTCTCTCTCTCTTCCCCCCCCCTCTCTCTCTGTGTGTGTGTGTGTGTGTGTGTGTGTGTGTGTGTGTATGTGTTGTGAAATTTTGCAACTGTGGCTCACAGGCTTCCTGGAACTTGGACTACAGATCACTTCTTAGGTGCAGGGAGACAGTGCTCCCTCAGTGAGCCTCTGAGCACTGTCTGGGAAGAGAGGACCAGTGGCAGCTAAGTGAAGCGGCCCACAGGGAGCCGTGGCAGGCAAAAATAGGCCTCTGGGAAAAGGCTCAAATTGATGGGGTTCCCATCCAGGCGGATGTCTTCTAGCTGCCGGCGGTGCTCATATCTGTGCTCCCTGGTGTCACAGAAAGTGTCGCTCCCCATGGTCTCGATCATGTTATTCTGGAAGGAACAGCACACAGTGAAGGCTCACAGCCTCCTGTGCAGCTGGAGAAGCAAAAGTAGATAAAGCTGAGGCCATATAGGTTAAGAGAAGAGGACACTTCTGGAGAGTGAAGAGAGAGTGAAGAAATTAGAAAAGATAAGAGTAGGAGTGGGTGGTAGTAAGGAGGCCCTAAAGGGTTGAGAAGAGACAGGAGGTAGGCAAAGCGAGGCCATTAAAGCAGGCGAAATACCAACGGGTAAGGGAAGGTGAAGTTTTAAAAAGTCGTGGAGAACATTACTTCTATGACCACACCCTGAATTCCCCTGTTATCTGCCTTCCATACTACATGCTATTTTTTCTTTGGTCTGATCAAGGCTCCTCACCTGCAGGTGCAGGGAGCGCAGGCTGAGGGGCAAAGGCCCAGGGATGGAATCCAGCAGGTTGTCTGCCAGGTAGAGAAACTGCAGCTTCTCCAGCGCCTATGGGGACACAAAGAATGGGAGATCAGTGGGGGGTCATGCCAGGCTCTTGGCATGAAGAAGTGCCCCAGCAGGCCAGCATCAGGTGGTCTCATTCGTGGGCTGCAGTTATCTCTGCCTGTCTATCTCTGTGTCTGTCTCTGCTTCTGTGTCTCTGTCTCCCCTCCTTCTCCAAAATCTTACTTTGTACCTCAGGCTGACCTGAAATTCTCTTTATATCCTAGGCTCTGTCTTGTGGGGGTTCTCCTACTTCATGTTTCTGAGTCCTCCACCACCAGGTCCAGCTAAGGATGCGGGCTCTTTAAGGAGCTTTGCAGATCCTAACTTCACTGGATGCCAAAGGAAAGCTGCTGTCATTGAGTGCTAGCAGCTGGGGAACATAAAAGGAACTGTTAGAGCCAGCTGGGAGGAGCCTAAGCCAGGATCAGGTAAAAAGAAGGACCATGGGACATTTCAGCTCCATCTCAACTTCTCTGTCACCAGTGAAAAGTCTCCCAAATGCTCCACTCAGAGTGGCTATGGAGAGCATGCTCAGAGGGCACCAGCACAGCAGAATAGAACCCGAGGCACACAGGCACACAGAGCATGTGAAGAGAACAGCACTGTCAGAATCAGGATGGGCTGATCTGAGAGGACCATGGAGGAGAGATCAGCCGGCAGGGGCTCAGGGAACAGCGAGGAACAAGCTACCTCTTCCCAGAGCATCCACTCCCTGCATTGAGTTGCCCTGTGATCTGCGCAAACGCTGTGTTTAATCCTGCAGCTCTGTGTCGAGAGGGCCTCATCACTCACTTTGTAGCCGAGGAAACAAGATCAGAAGTGACTCACTCAGTGAGCTCAGGTCCTTGCAAAGCCCCTGCCTTTTCTGGGCCAAGAAAATGGGGCTGAGGGAAGGCAGAGAAGCACCTCCTAATATGGAAACGGTCGCTGTTTTGAGGGCTGGAACAGCCAGAGACCTCCCTGTACAGACAATCCCAGTGTTTCCTGCACAGCCGAGAGAACTAATGTGTGCAGGTTTTGCATCCCACCTACTAGGGGCACAGATCCTGTTCTCTGTGCCCTCTGTAGGCCCACAGCACACAGAAGACAGGGAGGGAGGATGATGTTTGTGAAGAGCAGAGGCTGAGTGAGCACACAGCTCTTGGTGAGCATGGTGATGATACACTGTCACTTCTGTACTCAGGGGGCTGAGGTAGGAGAAGAAGGAATTTGAGGGCATCCTGGACTATATAACAAGTACCTTGTATGTATATATGAGTATGTACACACACACACACACACACACACACACACACTATGCGGCAATTTTTTACTATTTACCTATTTGATGCTTCTAAGTATGAATTTGCAAAAAAAAAAATGAGCCTGCACAATTGAGCATTGCTTAAGGACAGGGATGCATTCTGAGAAATGTGTCATCGTGAAATTATTTACACAAACCAAGAGTGCTACAAAGATACTGATGACTCTGTCTTAGCAGGGCACCACCATGCATGTAGTTCAGTAGTGATAGAAATGTTGTCTTATGGTTTGACTGTACTTGAAAGACACAGAGAGGCTGCACAAAAGCAGCTGGTCTTTGAAAGCCCTTCCGAAGTGCTGCAGCCAGCACGTTGGGATGTTTCAGTCTTGTCTGTTCTCCCAGTGTCTTTAGTGGAGGCTATCCTGGGCTCTGGCCAGCCCTGTACCTTTGGTAGCCCTATAGAATCATATTTGTGTCAAATGACTTAACTCTGTCCATCAAATCTGGCCAGTAACCCACCGTGGTGGCTTGAATAAAAATGGTCCACATAGGTCCACAGAGAGTGGTGCTTTTAGGAGGTGTGGCCTTGTTGGAGGAAGCATGTCACTGTGGGCTTTGAGGTTTCAGAAACTCAAGCTAGACCTAATGGCTCACTCTTCTTGCTGCCTGCCAACTTGGATGTAGAAATCTCAGCTCCGTCCCCAATGCTATGTCTGCCTGAATGCCACCATGCTTCCTGCCACGAAAATAATAGACTAAATATCTGAACTGTAAGGGAGATTCAGTTAAATGTTCTCCTTTGTAAGAGTTGCTGTGGTCATAGTGTCTATCCACAGCAATAGAAACTCTAAGATACCTCTCAAATTGTGTCTCTTGTGAATCTAACCACAGAGAGACACTGGCCATTTAGTGGTAGACTTCAAAACCATTAAGATGATTTATAGGAGGTGGAGTCAGAGTGAGCTCCACAGACAAACGGAGTTTTCAAGGGCAGAGTGGATGAGCCGGACTGGGGTGCTGGTACAAAGACAAGCAGATATGTACATAAAGCCTAGAGCAGCGTCCTCACAGAGGGAAGGGGGAGTTGCCACCACTGGCTTCTGGTGTTCTGCCCCCATGAACAGGACCCTGAGGCCTGATAGCACCGGGTTTCCTATTCACAGAGGATGCAGATGCTACCAAGATGGTACATTGTAAAACACCCTTTTCTAGAGAATGTTTAATAAGCCATTCATGGAAAAAGAAGGAAAAAGAGGAATTGATTTTTGGCTCTAGACAAGAGTTGAACACGAACAGCTGTGAGGTCAGGGTACATGGACATGGCGCACTTTGCATGGTGGACTGACTCACCACGAAAGCCTCAGGCTGTATCCCAGAGCTTTGCAGCCGATTCAGGCGGACGTCCAGGAACTCGATGCCACTGGGCAGCACAGGCAGGGCTGCCAGCTGGTTCTCTGAAAGGATCAGATCCTGCAGGGCAGGCAGCAGGCGGAGGGCATCATTGTGGATGGAGGAGATGGAGTTGCCAGAGAGGTCGAGCCTTCTCAGTTTTGCTGATGGACGTTGGGAGAGAACACAGGGCAAACCTGGAACATACATTCCTCCTGGCCCTGTGCGGGCTATGCTTGCCTCCATAACATGACCCATTCTTTTCAATGGAGTTCTAACTAGCTCACCTCCTGCACCAAGTCCAAACCACAAGAAACAAGTCCACATCAGATCTCCTTTTAAAACCATGGCATTCCTCAATAACTTTCTCGAGAGCTTTGGTTCTATTCACCTTAAAAGGTTCGTCCCCACCCCCTAACTCCCACCTGCAAGGACAATAATGAACTAGTTCAGGAATTGCTGCATTCATCCTGTTCCTCTCTCCTCCTGTACAACTTCCTTTACATGGAAGACACTTGGTAGCCAAAAGGCTACCAAGGTAGCCTCCCACCTCAAACAGAGAATATGGTAGGAAGTAGCAAAACAAAGAAAAAGCAAGAAACTATTTAAAGGCATCAGAGTCATAGAGAAGAGGCTTAGGGGAGTCTAGCCCAGAGGCTAACACTGGGAGGTCAATAGGGAGGTCTAGCCCAGAGGCCAACAATGCTGGAACATTTTGGAAATGTTGCCTTTTCCTGTGCCCCAGATTCTTCATGAGAAGAACTGGCTACTTCTGCCATTTTAAAGTCTTAAAGGAAAGGAATTGGAAGGACTGGAGCCTCAGTCCCTTTGACAGCCCAGAAGTCATGTCTGTACCCTGAAAGTCCTCTCTGCCTGGCCATCACCTTGTCTCGAAGCATAACTCACTCAGCCCTTTGAAGTCTCCAGCCTGGATGAGGCTGATGTGGTTGAAGCGAGCGTACAGGTAGGCGGTCATCTGGGGAAGAGGAGGAATGTTCTCCAGCTCTGCATCATCACAGTACACAGAAGAGCCAAGGCACACACAGACCAGGCAGGTAGGCAGGCCTGGCCAAGTGGAAGACAGAACAGACGAACATCTCTGGTCAGACTCTCTCTTCAAGCCTCTGTAGCCAGTGGTCTTTGCTTTAGCAAATGTCTAAGCCATGGGCATCTGTGGCTTTTAGACTGCCTATTTTCCCCACAGAACCAACCAGCACAATGCACCCAGACAATACTCACAGTTGCTCTCAGTCTGTCGCTTAGCCTTGGCTTAAAAGTAGATTCACCTAACTACCACTCAGTGCAAGGCTCATTGGTGCCTTCGCCAGACCCTGATCCTTTGTAAGTTCTGAGTTTGTGTGGCTCTTTGTAGGACTTCTGTCTGTCTCTTTTCCAGAGGACCTTCTCTAGTGTCAAAAGGTAGAGTGTAGATGGAAAAAGCCAGAATTTTATGGAATGGTCAATGGTTGCTGCCTCTGTTTTAGGAAGAGGAATTGGCCGTGTTTTATGTGGATTCAGGAAGCCTAGCAGAGCTAAGGTAGAATGGACAGTGTCTGCTTAGCATCCGTTTCCTCTTGGGAATGTCACCAGTGTCCTGATTTTACACTGGAGAACAGCCCTTGCCTCTTCTCTGTCCCTGGTGCTCTCTCTGTACCCAATGGCCAAGAAATTCAGACAGCTGACCAATGTTAGTGTCCCTTGCTATCACAAGATCTCAGAGATTACTGAGAAGGAGGCTTGTATCCAAAAGGCACCGGAGGAAAGTTCCCAGCCCAGAAATGAAGCAGCAGGAGGGGCCAGCAAGGGCAGGGGACAGAGGCTCTGTGCCCTTCTTCTCCCAAGGCTGAGAAAGGCAGGTCCGGCTGAGACCCTTTAGGGTCTCTTCTAGTCTGAGATTGTGGCTGTAAGAATGGACTCCCAGGGACATCCCCATGTCAGTACCCCAGGTCCATGCTGGCAAATATCCTACAGGAGAACAGGACGCCAAGCACCAGTGAGTTCAGAATAAGCTTCATTCCTCCTATGTCCTTTGGTCAGAGTCAGGGATGCTGCACCCCAGTCCCCAGGAAGGCACTGGGGGCGGGATTGAGGTCTGCTAACAAAGGTGAATTTGAGACTGAAGCCAGTGTCTCTTCTTCGTTTGCTCCCATGCCAAGTGACAGCCACAGTTATTTACTCCCCTCTCCAGGCTTTTAATCATCTCTAATCTAATTACCTCTCAAACTGTTCCCCGAGTGATGCTGTTAATTAAGGTAGGGTGGCTTTGCTAAGGTGTAGGAGTTCTTGCTTGCTTTGCATCCCACTCAATTTGTGCACAATATTTATACGAAAGTATCAAGGACAGCCGGCCACTCCCCTTTACTGTAGGGGTGCTTGTTTTTTACCATGACAACCTCCCCTTCTTTTCCTGTAGTAGAGGCCAACCCAGACCCAGGACTCCCTGGCCTTAGCCCTCACCACACTCCATTTTAGAACTGCCTGGTGCTAGCTTCAGGTTGCTTGGCCCGTGACCTTCTGATTGCACACACTTACCATGGCTGTTCTCATGGCTGTTCAGTAGGCCAGTGGTGGTAGGTCCTGCCATTGTGAGTTGTGATGACAATGTCCTTGGAGCCACGGTGCTGGTGGGACTGCCTCTTGTTGGAAGAGTCGGACTGCTTATTTTAGCCTGGAGACACAGCACAAAGAACAGCACAGACCAGTCTATGCCTGAGAAGGACTTAACTGTGGTCCCTGGAAACCTCAGGGACCAAGTTCAAACTCGTGCAGAGGAATAAGTGGAGGGAGAGAGAGAAAAAGACGGAGCAAGGAAGAGACCTTAGTGAGCACAGCATCTAGTGTCTCCATACACAAACGAGGACAGTGAGGTCAAGAGAGGAAAGGGTGAAGGTCCCAACACAGAGCTGAAGTCCGGATCTCTAAGTCATCCAGGGGGGTGCTTCTTCCCTTCCTCTCCGTCGTTCAGGTTGGCACTACCCCCTGTCTTTACCTAGAGCCTGGTCACACCACAAACGGGCAGAGGCTTCTGGGCTCATGGAGCATGATGCACGTGGTCAGTCTCTGCAGAGGACAGGAGAGCTGGGGAGAACTGCAGACTGAAGTTTACGAATTGACAAGCCAGCATTTCCCTTTTTTAGGGAGAACATGGAGACACTGTTGACCCTCACCCCATGACATACATGGGGTCCTCCCCATGAAGACTCCTTCTGGGAGTGGTCCTACCAAGTATGCCACATGGAGTAAGACATCGGCAGTGAGTGTCCTCTCTCTTAGTGGCCTGTAAATGACAAGTTCCTAAGGAGGGATAAGAATTTGTGCCTTACGCCTGGGAAGATAGCACTGTTGTAAAGTCTTGCAATTGGAGGACATGAGTTTGGTCCCTAAAACTCTCTGTAGTTGATTAAGGCTCATAATCTCAGAGCTGGCGAGGGTTGCTGGTCAGCCAGCCTAGCTTACTTGACAAGCTCCAGGCCAGTGAGAGACACTGTCCTAAACAAACTGAGTGGACAGCTCCAGAGAAACACTTAAGGCTGTCTGTCCTCTGGCATTTCTGAACATGTGCGTGTATAACACACACACACACACACACACACACACACACACACACTTGCACGCACTTGCGAATTTACATCATATAGCAAAAGAGTGGGGGGCTTGAGAGATTTGTATTATAGGGCAGGTGGAAAGGGTTCTGGCCCCTAATCCCGTTTCTTGCAGGGATTCCAAATCATCTCTGTCCTCTCACCTCAGGGATCTGGTCCCCATAGTCTGCAAGCTCCTCATAGCTGCTCAGGTCAATGACTTCACTGTAGTCCTCTAGGCTCAGGGTATAGTTCCCCACATGCAGGGACGTGTAAGTGTCACCTTCCTCAGGGCTCTGCTCTTCTCTTTCCCTCTCCCCTAGGAGAGAGGCCATCCCTGCCTCCTGCAGCACCAGAGTCAACAGACTCAGGAAAGCCAGGAACTTCATGAGGCTCTGAGGGAGAAGGAGGAGTGGGAATGGCTGAATCCCTTTCATGTGCATCCTGTGGGTAGGAGGTAGAAGGGCCGTCATTTGAGCTTGCCTAGTGGGAATGGCTCACAAAGTTAGCCAGCCTCCAATCTGCATGCATGCTCACTCTCGCCCTCTGTCACATGAGCTCACTCAGCATCTTCATCTGGCGCTCCTTAAAGTCGGGGGGTCTGGTCTGTGTCTGGAGGTATCTTTAGCCATCACTCCCACTGCAGCTCACAGTGTGGCGACCACACAGGCTCCTGTGGACAGCTTCCACAGGCTGGCTTACTCATCTCACCACAGACATGCTTACCACAGTCCCCCGTCCACTCACTGGCACACTGGATACACTGGTATATTTGTACCAATATTCTCTAATAAACAACCACATATTCAGGAAAAAAACCCTCATCAACCTCCCCTCCTCAAAAAAAACCCAAGAAACCAAAACCAACTCACCAAAAAAAAAAAAAAAAAAAAAAAAAGCAGCAGCAGCAACAACAACAACATACCTTTAGAGAAACTACATTAAAGAGACATTTGTTTCCTTTTCGCTTTTGTTTTCCTGAGATAGGGTCTCATGTACCCTAGGTTGGCCTCAAACTTATATACTGGAGAAGGACTTTGAACTTTTGATCTTCCTGCCTCTACCTCCCAAGGGCTGGGATTACAGGTGTGTACTATCATGCCTGGTACATAAAATGCTGGGTATCTAGCACAGAGCTTCAAGCATGTTAGGCAAACTTGCTATCTACTGAGTTCTCTCCCTAACCCTACTTGTGGTTACTCTAAGGCCACTCATTCATTCAGTCACTTAAACATTCATGGGATATCTATTAAGTTGTAGTCTCTGGACATGCCTCTGGAGGTGCAGAAGGGAATAAGCCCCAGCCCTTTGTGGAGCAACCAGTCAATTTGAAGACAAAGTCTTATAACTTAACATACAATGTTAAAAAAAAGGATATTAGCTCCTAACATAGACTTAGAAATGTAGCTTTTTAGAAACACATTGTAGAAAGCAGAGGGCTTCTGTGCGGTTATCAGGTCTGTTCCCATCAGAAAGCTTGGCAGCTATCTGTATACATATGTGTTTGCACATGGGTTACTGCACGGACATGCTGTGCATACATATGAGCACAGACGTCTGCCGTTCACTCACATCTGTGCAGACAGGTGAAGCATTGTGTGTGCTATGGGATACAGAAGTATCTGCAGCATCCTAGCCAGTATGCAGCTGATTACACAGCCCTCCCAAAGCTGCCTGCACAGGTTTCTTCTTAATGGTAAGTCCCCAGCAGTTGTAAGAGGTCTCTTTGTTCCCTGTTCCCACTCCAAACTGAAATACATAATCTTTAAAACTATCCCCAAGGCAGTTTACTGACCACCCAGAAGCCCTTGCAGCTTTTTTGATCAGAGCATCGTTCTCTTGCCACCCTCTCTGCCCAGTTCCTGTCCCAGTCCCGACTCCATGCCTTTGTTTGCACGCCAGTGCGCGTGAGGCCTTCAACCTTGGGCCTTACCTTTTAGGTGCTTTTGGTTCCGTCTGGCCCAGCAGCTTCCAGGGAGAAAAAGGCTGTGATGGAGATGCTGACTGCCTGTCAGACTAGGGGACAGCTAGACACTCCCTCATCTATTGGCCAGGGAGAGTGCAAGTGGTTGGCCCAGGGATCCATGTGTCTAATTAGATTTCCCAGTTCTTTGAGGTGCCCTGCTGTTTCCCTTCCTTTTCCCTCAGGGGTCCCTAATCTCATTTCTTCACCTAATGAACAGCAGTTCTTTGCTCAAGCATGCATGTGAATGCATTCACACACACACACATATGCACGCATGCACACACAGGCACCATGGCCTCCACACTTTCTTCTCTGGTCTTTGAGGGTTGGTCAGTTAAGTTAGATTGGGAGTTTTCCAGAAGGCTGAGCTGAGGTTTTCTGGACTGATGGAGCTTGCTGTCCCTGTCTCTCACTCCCCAGCCCCACAGAAATAATGACACTGGACTTCATAATGGAATCTAAAGAGCATAGATGGGGGGGCACCCCACCCGGGCACCCACCCAGCCCTACCCCTAGAGCACTGTGGTGGTACAGAGAGAAACAGGGAGTGGGGTTGGCTCTGAAAACCAACCTTAAGTTCACAGCAGTGGTCAGTCACTAAGGACAAGACAGGAAGTTCTCTAACCCCGTAAGAAGAAAGAACAAGGACAGGAGTGGGGCATTGGCTTACAAACACCCAAGACACTGTCATTGTTCACGGCCTCTGGCCTGGAACCTAACCCTTCTCTTCCCACGAGGACTTTCCAAGGGCCCCATCTTTCCTTGAGATAAAACCCAGATATCCCCAGAGGAGGGCCAGGGCTGGAGAATGTCATTCTGATTCTGCTGCCCAGGTTCTTCTCTGATGCTCTCCACACCCTCCTCCTTTCCTCTGGTCACACCCTGAATCCCAGCAGGGAGGCCCCCTGAAGTACAGCTATTCAAATTACTTATTGTAGAGGAGGAAATAGAGTGCAAAAGAGAAGCGATTGGTCCAAGGTCACCCAGGGCCAAGACTAGCACTACATTTTGAGTGTTTTCTGGGTTCACAGGCTCACCTTCTTACAATCTCATCCCAGGAATCCCGAGAACACAGTGACTCTGTGCCCTCAAAACAGATGGCCTTAGCAGAACCCATCTCCAGCTTGTGATGCCAGGTGAGTGGGCAGACCTAAGAGCTAGACCCCGAGGACTCTCCAGCCTGTGTGGGAAGGGGATTCGGCAACCCGAAGAGGCCACCTGTCAGAACAAGGATGTTTTGTCTCAGAGATTCCCCCATCTGGAGTGACAGCTTCAGAAGCTAGGCTGGGTGGAGGGAGGTAAGAGTCCCAAGCCAAGAGGACGCCCTCGAAGCAGATGGCACATTTGGCTGGCCCTACCCCTTCATTCAATTCTTCCAGAGACCCCTGGTCTCCACAGACAGCCGAGACGGTGTCCCCCTCCCACCTTCACGCCATTTATCCCTGCAAGGAATACAGATGAGACTGTTCATCCATTTCCCCCTGCCACCTGCTCCCACTCTTCTCCCCGCTCTCGGTGACACACCCCCTCCACACTCCCGCCGCTCCCCTCCTACCCCACTCCACCCCACTCCACCCCACTCCGCCCCAGTCGTCCCATCTCTCTTGAGCGTCCGCCCCCGCACTCCCAGGCGGCGCAAGCAGCCCTGCACTGCGCACGCGCCTGCTCCCACGCATTCCCGGCCCCCTACCTCCATCCCCCCTCCCCCCTAGGGAAACTCTGCGATGCAGGCCGGCTCTCATCCTACACTTTCTCCCAGCTTCTATTCCCGCCTTCACAAGCTTGCGGGTGGTTCCCATGGATTTCGGAGGCGTTGGTGGATGGGAACGTGGACCTGTGTGGGAAGCGGCAGGCGGGCGGGCGGGCGGGCACAGTCCCTGATCCAGGAGCCTGGCAAGCGCTGCCCTTCAGCAGAGACATGAGGTTGTACTGATGAGACGGAGGCCACAGGCCATGTGGACACAGAAGTCTGGCCAGCTGACCCTCCTGCTGCCCTGTTGGGAAGTGAGAGAAGAGGGCAGAAAAGTTCAAGAGACCCGCCTGCCTTTTGGTATTCGCTCCTGAAGACTGGGAACCCCCCCCCCACACACACACACGTGGTCTTGACCCCAGCCTAGCTATTTACCGGTTTGTTCCCGCTCTTGTTCCAAGTCATATGCTTTCTCCTCCTCTTATCTGGCAAAACTGGATTCCTCAGAGCCGGCTCACGAAAGACTTCCCAGGCAGAGGAAAAGGTCCCCCACCCCCCAGTTGCATATAGTTAACATCATTACAACCGAGAGAAAAGAATTCGTGGACACACCCCACCCTCTTATCAAGTTATTAATTCCCCAATGGAGTGGAGAATGCATCATCCAACTTTGAATTCTTTACTGGGACCTGCCTGGCACACAATTGGTCTGAAGCCCGCACTTAACAGGAAGGTAGAGTTGGGCGAGGGCATTTGTCAGTTTTCATCCTGCACAAGACAGCCTAGGTTAGGAGGGTTGAGAATCCCCTTCTGTAGCCGAATCTCCTCTAAAGAGAGCCTTTTCCGAACTTGTACATGGCCTGTAGACCTTTCCAGATGATTTGGTCCTTGGCTGTCTGCCCTGGGCACTTCCCGTGCACACTGTATTTCTCCAATTAGTTAGAAAAGATGGCTCTGCCTCTTCCTGCAGTGCCTTGGTGCTGCGCACCGAGAAACCCTCCACAGTTTGATATTGGTAGTTTCAAGAACATGGCTGTTTTGAGTTCAATCGGAGCTATTAGATTTCTAGTCTGACTTTAGAAAAAGCTTTGGTATATTTCTTTTCCATTTTTTTGTTTGTTTTTGTTTTTGGTTTTTGGACAAGATCTTACTATGTAGCCTTGGCTGGTCTCAAACTCTTAGAAGGCTCTGTCTGCCCCTGCCACCTGAGTGCTGGGATAACAGCCACCACCCCTGGTGGCTAGGAGGTTTTTTTTGTTGTTGTTGTTTTTTTGTTTTGTTTTTTAAACAAGGTATTTATGGGGCTTAAAGCTATGACTCAGAAGTTAAGAGTATTTGTCACTCATTTAGAGGACTGGGATTTGGTTCTCAGCACCCACACAAAGGCTCTCAACCATTCATAACTCCTGTTTCTAGGGGATCCAGTGCCAACTTCTAATCTCTGTGGGCTCCAAGCATGCATGTGGTGCACATACATATATGCAGGCTAAATGCAGGCTAAAAGAACACCTTTAAAGATAGATCTTTTCTCTGCCCATCTTCTCAGCAAGCAGTAGGGAATGTGGAGAAAAGACTGCTTTAAGTATCATTGCTGACATTGACTCATTCACAAGGTCAGGTTCATGCTGGGTGTTTTCCATATGACTTTATTTCCTCTGCTGTGAAGCTTGTTGAGATGTGGAAGCTGTATCAGAATTAACATGATCATTTGGAGAATAGATAAGATGTACAGGGTGTGGTTGGGCACGCGCATACACACACATACACACACACATGTGCATGCGCACCTGCATGTATAAATGCTAATGGCACTGATTGAATAAACTTGTGTGAGGAGGTGCTTTCTAAACCCCAAGGTAACCAGCACTGTGTGTGTATGTTTCCTGTGAAGCCAGGCTAACTCTTGTCTCTCTAGCTGCCGGCTGCAGAGAGCAGTGGAGGAAACTGGCGTGGCCCAGGTTAGATAATGGGATGCTGATGGTGGGATGCTAGTTCAGGTTTGCAGGATCAGTGCCCACCCCATCCCTAGCAGCCACAGGAGCTGTGGGATTCCTGTGGGCCTCTCGAAAGGGGCAGAGGTTGCAGGTTGTCATAGGTGCAGAAGGGGCTTGTCCAGGCCATAGCACCAGGTTGCTTTCAGCTGTAATAATACATTGACTTTAAGCAGGAGCCTTGGAGGAACCAGCTGCAACTAGGAAAGGTGAGGAAGTTGCACAGCAGGGGAAAAGAGGCTGTGTGAAGTGGGCTCTATTTTCAAATCTCAAAGGAGATTGAGAATATAAATGGGGCTTCTGGACTATGGGGCCCGCCTAATCCAATGTCTTAAAATAGTTGTGTGATGCTGATCTTGGAGAGATGAAAAAGCCTCCAGAGCCTTCCCCAGCCTAAGGAGGATGGGTCCTGTGCTTCACTCACTTCCTGAACATTCATCTCCACATACTCCCCCCCTCCACCCAGGGAACTGTGGCAGGGCAAAGACAGCTTTCCCTTGAGGGAGGAGAAGGGAAGGGTAATGCAGGAAACCCAGGTTCTTGGAAACCTGCCAAGCTGCTCGCCTGGGCTAGGAAAGGAGGGTAGCAAGTCTTTGGGGGAGGGGCACTCTATGCAGAGAATAAATTACTGCAAAGGGAGGGCAGGCAATACCACTTGTCCCGCGTTAGGTGTGCTCTAGAAAAGGGGGCACAGACATGAAACAGGAGCTCTGAGAGGACCCTGGAGGAGCATCTGACCTACTGCCTCAGTTTACAGATGTGGAAGCTGAGGGCAAAAGAGATCTGACAAGGCCACTGTCAAACCAGCTTCCCTTAGACTCTCAAAGATTTCCCATTCACAATCACTCCTGATGGGAAAGAACCCCCGACCTCTGCCCTTCCCTTTAGACCCAGTAGGAGAAAGACACTCAGCCAGTTACCCATGGCCCTCTTCCTCTAGGGAATCAGGTAATTGCAATATCACCCCAAATAGAGTGGAGTCAGCTGTGACTTTCACCAGCCACCAGATGTCGCTGATGAGTCAGCCTTAGAGGTAGAGGCTAATCCCCAGTGTGGAAGAGGCTTCTGGGAGATTTCCAGATGCTCCACCCTCTTCCTCTGTTTCTCAAGAACTGCCTTTGGGGTGGGATGACTGACTGAGTCTTGCACATAATAGAGAGCAGACAAATCCAGGACGATGCCTCTTGGCCCTCCACTGTGAACACTGTCCTCTAGGACTTAGAGCCTCTTGTCAAATTTGTGTAAGGGAGATTGCAGGGTTCGTCTACACCCATGCAGGCCCAGTTCTAGGCTCTGACCGCCCCCTCCCCCCCAGCTGCCACCTATTAGCTAAAGTCTAGTTCCTTGAACCACTGGCCGCTGGCCGTTCCTCTCTGAGGTCCAGCCAAGAGGGCATGTACTGTTTGCCCCAAAGGAGGGAGAAGGAAAGAGGAGGAAGGGCTGGAACTTGTGGGAAACCCTGACCCTTCACCCCACCTTAGTCATTCCCCCACACTTCCTTTCTGAAGAATTCGAGACAGCAGAGAGCAGAGTGACATCTGTCTGGTGTCAGGAAACAGTGGCAGAGCAGCAGCTTTGGAAGGGATCTCGGGCCTAGGACACCTGGATTTGTCGGCCTTCTTGCCCAAATGGAGGAGTTCTCAGTGGGACTTTCCAGGGTTCGCCTCTGGAATGGCATCTGCTTCTTACTCAGCTAAGACTAAAATAAGATGTCAGTCCATGGCCCAGCCTTACCCAGGAGAGACTCGTGGAGTGGGGGAAGGGAGGGGATGTGTCTGTTGGCATACACCTATGTTTCTGAAGCAAAGGGAGACCAGAGAAGACCAGAGGTTTTGGCTGGCAGGATGTCTTTGGACTGGTAGGGGAATCTTGCTTTAGGGCTGGAGCAGGTTATATGGTATTTGCCATCCTCACAAAAGGACGAGAGGAAAGGCAGGGCTGGGAGCAAGAGAAGGAGACAGATAAAAACAGTGGACCCCAGGGCTTGGGCCACCAGCCTTCAAGTGCTGTCAGAGGAGGTCCAGCTCTGGGCACAGCCTAGATGACCACAGACTGCAGGAGGCGGAAGCACATCATGAGGTCTAGCGGGATGGGTGGCTTCAGGAAATTTCCGTCCAGCCTCAGGTAGCGCAGGTGAGGCACGTTTTCCAGATCCGAGGAGAAGTCATGGAAGGCCACTAGGTTGTTGGGGCAAATCTGGGTCCCATTGATTTCTATGGAGGAAGAAGGGAAAGAAGTCAGCCGCAGAGGAACTGGCAGCACTGGGGAGGAGAAAGGGGATGATAACCAAGAAAGAGTGTGGACTCTACTGTCCTCTTCACTGGACAGGGTGACTCTGGGAAGGTATGACTAGATCACCTAATTTCCAGAGCCAGTGTATTCATTTGTAAAATGATTTCAGTTGGGGATGACCGGGAAGAGGTCATTTCCAGCAGAAATGGTTTATTCAAGGACTAAACCACCAAACAATACGCTTTTCTCTGAGCCTTTCTGTTGATGCTCTCAGAGCTGGTTTTACTCCCTAGGCTGACATTGAACTCCCTATCCTCTTGCCTCAGTCTACAGATAGTTGGAATTACAGGCACCATACTCAGTTGACAGAGTTTTTTTGTTTGTTTTGTGAGACGGGGTCTCATGGAGTCCAAGATTGATTTGAACTTCCGATTCTCCTGCCTCCACCCGTCAGGTGCTGGGGTTACACACATGTGCCACCATGTCTGGTCTGACACTTGACTGAAGCCAGGCTGAGCTCCAGCCTCATGTCCTGCACCACTGTTGACACATCAAACTCAGGACTCTGTGAGTGTTCCTTGGGGGAAACCGTCCTGGCTTAACATTGCTACCTTCCAATAGAATCAGAAAGCAGTTTTTAGCATATCTATACCCTGCCTCTCTAAGTCCCTTTCACAGACCTTTTAAAAACCAAGGCTCAGATTTGGGAAGTCCTTTGCCATGGCTGCGGGTTGCTGCTGGCTTCTTTTGCAGTGTGCAGGCCAGGCCTAGGACGTGAGCACCTTTGTATGTATGTTCTACTATTAGGAGACTAGCTAGCAGTATTTCTGTGTCTGTCTTATCTATAGGTCCAGTGGCCAGAGAAGTTGATGCTGATAAGAAGGGACGGAGAAAGAAAACCTCATGCCTTTCAAGCGTGGTGTTCAGCACACTTCATCCATACATGATTAAGTCATCCTACTGACTCTGTGTTAGAGGATATTATTGCCATCTTCATTTTACAGGTAAAGAGACATTCCATAGGGGTCCAGTATTTTTTCAAGGTTACTCAGATGCAGAAAATAGTGAAGTCACAGTCAAAACTAGTGGGATTTCTTTTCCTTTTCTTCAATGCCAAGTATAGAATGTAAGGTCTTATGTGCGTGTTAGAAAGACTGCTAAACTGGGTGGCAGTGCACACCTTTAGTCCCAGCACTTGGGAGGCAGAGGCAGGTGGACCTATGGACTACAGATTGAGTTCCAGGACAGCTGGGACTACACAAACCCTATCTAAAAGAAGGAGGAAGACGACGAGGAGGAGGCGGCTGCTATACCACTGTCCCAGTAGTTGCTTCTTGTAACCCCATTGTGGTGTTCCTGAGAAAGTGTGAATGCACTGAGCCTCTGTGCTAACCTTTGCCCCTGCCCCCCCCAGCCCCCCAACTCACTCTCTATGCTATTGTTGTTGAGGTACAGGTGTTCCAGCTTATTGCTGATGGCTGGTACATTGCTGATCTTGTTGTGTGACAGGTGGAGCACCAGCAAGTTGGAGATGTTGAAGGAGTTCTTGGGGAGCCCTCGGTCTGATAGCTTGTTGTAGTTCATACGGATGAAGGCAAGGTTGGGGAAGTCCTTGAAGTATCCATTGGGGATGGTCTCAATCTTGTTGCTGTCCAGGTAGAGCTGGTGAATGGCTGGGGGGACCTTGGGGGGCATCCTTCTCAGGATGTTGTGGGCCAGATTGAGCTGCATTAGGTTCTTGAGGCCCCGGAAGGTGTCGGGCTTGAAGACGCCATCACTCAGCCGATTGTGCTGCAGATCCAGGAGCAGCAGATTCTCCAGCTTGCTGAACACTCCAGGCGGGATCCTGGAGATGAGGTTCTGGCTCAGCCTCAGCTGTTCCAGGTTCTGGGGCAGAGCCGATGGCACCTCTTCCAGCTGGTTCTTCTCCATGTAGAGGAATACCAGGCTGGGGAGCTTCTCCAGCACTCTCTGGTCCACCTTGCGAATTCGGTTGTTGTCCAGGTTTATCCACCTCAGGCCTGTGGCGTTCTTGAAAGATTCCAGAGGCAGCTCAGTGATGAAGTTGTTCTGCAGGTAAAGGTAATGGATTCGGGGTGGGATGACAGGGACCTTTCGAAGGTTTCGGCTGTCACAGTAGAGGGCTGATGGGAAGTCAGGGGGGCAGTAGCATTCCCGTGGACAGTCAGGGAAGACTGATGGAGGGCCGGGAGGAAGGGGTGGAGGCAGGTCTGTAGGCTCTGCAGGCTCGTGGGGCTGAGGAAAGCTGGGTGTGGGCCTTGGCTTGGGTTTACGCCTAATCCCAGGTTTTGGTCTTGTCTGCTGGCCTTGGGCCACTGAGGCCAAGATGAGGAGAAGTGGGAGGAGCCAGAAGAACGATGCCCTCATGATCCAGGTGATGTACCTGCAGGAGGAAAACTGGGAGTCATTAGCCTCTTGTGGACAGGTGCATGTGTGTAGAAAGCACAAGGTGCTGGGGACTAGGGGTCTCGAGGCATGTTGGAAACCCTTGGTGGGGGTGGGTGTATGGGGGAGGGCCAAGGGGTGCTCTCTCTAGTTGTGATATGAGGAGATCATCTCAGCTCTTGTAAGGAGAATGTTTAAGTTCTGCCAGGAGTGACATCCAAAATCTGCTCAACACTTTTTATATCACCCCTCCTCCAAGAAAAGCTCTCTGCCTTTTTCAGAGTGATGCTAGGGTACAGTCCAGAGTCCAAAGCAGTGGGTCTGGAAGATTCCTTACAAATCCCATATTCTCAAACTGTGCCTATATTCCTGTGAACCCTCTGAGGAGGTACACTGAGAAGGGGCCCCCAGGGTGACTCCTGTGCTGGTTTGAGCAGCTTTGTTCCTTAAATCTGTTATAGACGGAGATTTAAATACTGAGAGAGGTAAGAACACACACACACACACACACACACACACACACACACACACGCACACGCACACAAGGGTGGTTAGACAAAGCATTTGAAGAGGAAAACATTTCATTGCTATTAATGGCCTGCAATCCACCCACCATGTCCAGCCCCCACTGTGGCCAAGAGGCTGACAGTGAGCACAGGACAAAAATGCAGGAGGTGTCCTGGAAGGGAACCACTCAGATACCAGCACTCACCCTCTCACCCTTGCTCTGTCCCCTCCCCTGCACTTGGCTCAGGGACTGCTGGTCTTTGCCAGCATGAGTTTGCCAAGAATTCTTCCCCAGATGTAGAGGCCCTTGGGAAAATAAACAGGAAAGGAATAAAAAGACTCAGGGAAAACACTTTCCTTTCTTTGGACCCGGTATTGTCACTCCGTATACGCTGGAACTGATATGTTGTAATGGGACATCAGGAAGAACTTCCCTGTAGCCTCGGTGACACTGGGATCAAGAGCCGAAGACCTTTGTTGTGTGGCTCTGCTGACTTGTGCGGTGGGAGCTAAGTCAAAAAGGTCTTTCCCAGAATTTAACTGTGTCTGTCCCTAACCTTATATGCCCATTGCATACATACATACATACATACATACATACATACATACATACACACACACACACACACACACACACATATATACACACACCCCTACCTCTTTGTCCCTAGCCTGTACCAGTTTGTTCACATACCTGGTAGGCAAACTCACATTCTCAGGGGCCTGTACTTCTGTGTGAGCGTTGTATGTCGGTCTCGGTGGGAAGGAGGGTAGAAGGGAGAAGTCTCTCCTGCCTGATGTTTTTCTCTCCTGTCTGAGGTGGGTTTCATCTCAGACAAACCTCTCAGGTACATCTAGAAGGTCATTTTCCCTGGGCCTTCTGTGACAAGGGACCTGCAGTTAGGTGCTTGGTTTATCTGCAGCAAGGCTTCTCTGAAAGGACTAAGAAGCCAGGACATCCCTAGAATGTGGCCCCTGCTGCTCAGTCCCACATTACTCTGTAACTGGTGTGTTATGGATTAACATTTTAATAAGGCTTTTAATTTTCTTGAAAATAGAAGAGTCATGTCACATAGCAATGATGACTGTAAAGCATTACTATTCTAAAACATTTTAAAAGCATCAGTCTTTGCAAACCTGACTTGTTTTTATTCTTCTGTTGTTGTTCCTTTTGAATCTGTATAAATTACCCAGAAGTCTGTAGGCAAAATTACCTTCCTCCCTGCCCCTGCTATGAGAAATCTTGGCCCAAGGCCAAAATTAGGTTCAACAGAAATTTCCCAGGTTTGCTTTGTTCCCCTTGGTGCCAAAAGCACTTCCAAGGTGAAGTAATGGACACCAAGTTAGTCAAACAAAGCTTTCCAGGGCATCCAGCAGAGCCTTCCCTGTGAGACAGATGTCCTGGACAGCTGGGCTCTGATGCTGGGGAAGGGGTGGGTCTCTGTTGTCCATGTGGTGGGCATCCCAGGCTCCACGGCCATGGCTATCTCAGTGGGAAGTTCTACCTGCCTGTCTCAGACATGGGGTCCCTAGGCCTCTTCCTCCTCATGCCCAGGCCAGACTCTTTGAGGACCCTCATCTTCCCATTAGTCCTTTGGACCCTTTCTTCCTTCTTCAGGGCTAGCCATGCTCCACCCAGAGCCCCAGGAGTTTCCCCCCAAACAAGCTCTCTGAATCTGAAGTGGGGATTTTCACTAGGAAAAGAGGCTCAATCCTCTCCTCTCTCAGTCCGGAGCTGAACCAGAAATCTGTGTGCACAGTGCACAGAGAACTCTGTTCATTGCCAAGGCCTTCCTCATAGGCACACCCCTTCCTGCTGAGCCAGGCTGTCCTAGGCTTCTGGGAAGTTCTCACTCCATGGCCATTGTCTCTAGCTATGCTCTCCTGCCTCAAGGTTCTATAAGGAGGAGCAGAGGCAAACTGGAGGTTAGCCTACCCCAGAGGGGTTTGTAGTCTCACCAACGAAGACCAAAGCCAGGGCCCTGGGCTCCTTCCTTCTACATCATTAGCTCCCTTAGGGTGGGGTGTCTGTGCTCAAAATCCCTTATGCTTCTGAAAACATACCTCCCCACATCCCATTCAATTCGGATCCCTATTGGGCCCTGCTTCTCGATGACCGCGCCCCTCACCAAACTCACCAATCTCCAGCGCTGTCTTTCAAAAAGCTGCTGGCTTTACCCAACCCCAGTTCATGCTCTATATTTAGAAGCCTTTCTTAAGAGACCTTACAATTCAAATTTCACTTCTGACAGCATGGATCTGGGCTTGAATTCTGCCTCTGACTCTCCCCTTGGGCCCCATATGAGAATGGGATGAGCTAACGCATCTGAAGGCACGGTCCAGAAACAAGACTCTGGAAATGGCATGGACAGTGTGTTTACAGAAGAGTAGGTTCTGAGAGAGGCTCCTTGAGTTTAAAGTGAAGTATCCTACCTGTCCTGTTTATCTGTGGTAAGAGCTCAGGGACTGTCAATGCTTGGACTCCTCCAGTCCAAGCTGAGGGGCTGAGGACTGAGGTACCATGGACCAGTAAAACCCAGGGAGAAGGGTCCTTCTAAATTCACAGCATGAACTGGGGTTTGGCAAAACTTGCCTAGCTGTTGGATATAAAGGGCACAAGAACTTTAAAATGCAATGCAGGTCAAAAAGTGCTAAAGCCAAGTTTAACACTATTGCAGAGTAAGCACCGTATTCTGATTTGAACAGGAAGAATGTAAACAGAATGGAGGTTATATGGTTTTAGGGAAGGAGTCTGAAAGAACAGGCTCCCCATTCTGATGGGGAAGACATCAGACAGATAATCAGGCCATCCCTGATAACTCACTGTCCCCTATACTGCCTCTCTGCCTCTCTCCCTATCACCTTTAATCCTTGACAAATTTTTTTTTTTTTTTTTTTTTTTTGGTTTTTCGAGACAGGGTTTCTCTGTGTAGCTCTGGCTGTCCTGGAACTCACTCTGTAGACCAGGCTGGCCTCGAACTCAGAAATCCACCTGCCTCTGCCTCCCAAGTGCTGGGATTAAAGGTGTGCGCCACCACCACCCGGCCCCACCCTGTAACTTATGTTAGCTCAAGACTACTACATAAGCGTCAGTCTCCACATCTATAAAACAGGCATGCTTGACATATTTTGGGGGTGCTAAAGACCAAAACCAGGGTTCTGTGCATATTATGCACACATTCTACCCTCGAGCTGCAGCTCCAGTCTGGATGCCATGAGGGTTAAAATAGTTTGTGTGCAAAATACATGTTCATGTGTGTCAAGGGGTTGTTGGTACCACTTTGAAGTAATGGTTCTACCTCACCATCAGCCTGGTTGGTTAACATCCTTCATTTCCGGGAAGAGAAGTGGTCCTTCTCACAGTATAGGTACTGGATCTTTCATTCAGAGAAACTTCATTTCCTTTGTGGCTTGTAAGACCACATTTGACATTCGGAATCAGCTGATTGGAACTCCCCAGACTCCTGTGTAAAACCCACTGCGTGTCTCCTTTCTGACTGACTAACCCAGCTCTCTGCTCTCTGCAGAGGTGGGGACTCTGGCTGGCAAACGGAAATCTCTCTTTTTGACTGGTTCTGGCTCCTTTCGAGATCTAGGGCTTCTCCTTGCCTTTTTTGTTTGTTTGTTTGTTTGTTTGGTTGGTTTTTTTTTGTTGTTGTTGTTCCTTCTCCTCATATGCCCTCCAGGAAGGTGAGGGTGGGTAAGGGACATATTACCAACTAGTCTGTCCTATGAGAGTCAAATGGGATAGAGATGTGGGCATGGAGAGAGAGAATCTAGAAGAGATGGTGACCGTGGCCAGTACCAGCTCTTGGGTACCTGTGACAGGTAGCCTAGCAGGTAAGAGGAGATATACTAAGGTAGCTCCCTTTCTTTCTAGAATGTTCTCCAGAAATATGGTTTGCCCAGGCTTATAAGGATGATGATGATGATGGGTTTAGTAATCACAAGAGAGTGCCTTGTTCCCTCCTAAAGTTGCTCCCAGCCCTCACTGTTAGGACTGCAGGGGGTTCTTTTTAGAACACCACATAGCTCTCTCTATGATGAACTCTGGGGGGTTGTCTCAGGATGTATTAACACAGCTCAGGACCTCTTAGGCTCTGTTTGCTGGATCTGAAATGAGTGTCTGGCCATGTTTTTAGCTTACATATTCCCTTCCTACTGCCCAGGGGATTCTGAGGATCAACTAGTGTCCCCCTTCTTACTGGGGGGGGGGCTCTATTGCAGGAGGGGAGGGAGGTATGCAAATAAGGCTCTCAGGTTCCCCTCCCCCCTTCTACTTCAAGCCCCTTTACCAGCTGACTGGCCAGGATAATCTCAGAATAACTTTAGAGAGAAAAGTGGTTCTGACTACCTGCGGGGGTGTGGGGGGGTGAGAACTGTTAACTCAGAGTTAGGGCCTGCAAGGCTTGCAGGCAAGGCAAGCCAAGCGGTAAGAGCCAAGCGGTTTAGGGGAGGGAGACAGGAATCCCGGCTGCAGAGAGGATATTGTGCAGGCTGGAGAGCCACTATTCTCTCTCCTGCCTGATTAAACTCAAAAGGAGGGAAGGAAGGAAGGGAGGAAGGAAGGAAGGGAGGGAGGGAGGGAGGGAGGGAGGGAGGGAGGGAGGGAGAGAGAGAGAGAGAGAGAGAGAGAGAGAGAGAGAGAGAGAACCATTTGATTGCTCATGTCCTCCCTGATCAGCCAAGGCGTGATTGTCTTTTGGCTCGGTCATCACAGCAGGAAAATGCTGTCTCTATGGTCAGGCAGCTGAGGAGGCACGTGAGAGAGTAAGAGGCAAAACCGTGTGTGTGTGTGTGTGTGTGTGTGTGTGTGTGTGTGTGTGTGTCTGTCTGTCTGTCTGTCTGTCTGTCTGTCTTTTGCAGTGCATATACATGAAAGGTATAGAGAATTGGGTTCCAGTGTCCGGTTCCCATGGCAACACCTGCTCTGTTGAAATTCTGTGTGCGACACAGCTCTGTGTGTTCCACAGACATCTGCACTGAGAAAGTTTAACTTCAGCAGTGAGCAAACACAAGGATGCAGGATGTTGAAGAGACAACAGAGTGTCAGCAGGAAATGAGGAAGGCTATGTCTGAGCTCTTCGGAGAGGAAAAATGAGAAGGAAGAAGGCCAGAAGGGAGGATAGAAAGATTGGACAGAGCTAGAGGGAACCCCTGGAGGAAGGAGCCTGAACTTACCTGCACACACCTGCCTCTCCTCTGGACTCTGGGGCGCTCCTCTGTTCCTCCCCACCCTTTGGTGGAGCTGTGGCAGCAGAGAACCAGCTAGAAGTTCTGGTCTCCCAGTTGGTGCGTGTCTGCGTGTGTCTGCCTGACTTTCGTCTACCAGATCCTATTGGGGTGGGGAGGTTAGGTTAGGGGAGGGAGGGGCAGATCAGAGGGGGGAGGGCAGGGAGGAGGAGGGAGCAGAGGAGAGAGGGAGGGTGCTTGGGAAAGGAGGAATGACAACAATAAAGTCTTTATTTGGCAGCCAAAACTCCACAGACCTCATCCACACCCGATGCCCACTAACGGCTCACTTTTAATAATGTTTCCTGCTGCTGCTGCTCTGGAGAGGAACCATTTGACCCGTGTTTGGAAAATAAGCCAAATCAAGAGAGGAAAGCACTTGGAAAGGCCTCTGCTTCTGAATAAGCGGGGTGGGGTCCCTGGGTCCAGTCCTGGCCAGTTGAGTTTCTAACAAGTGACTTACTTCCCTGGTGTCAATTCTTCAACTCACTGAGGAGCCATGGACACTTTTCAGAGCATACACAGTGACAATATTTCCTCATCATGGTCTCCAGGAGCTTGCTAAGGGAGTGGAGACTCACTGTGCAGTGAGCTGATGTAAGAGGTAACTATTGGTTTGGTAGCCAGAAGGTCACTCTGGCCTGAGAATCACACAGCAAAGTTAAAGCAGGCTTCTAATTGTAAGTCCTCAAGCCACGGCTCCTAGTTCATGAGGACAGTGTTGGGGCTTTTCTTCCCATTTTGTGTCACACTCAAGTGAGGGTTGGGGGCTGTGTGGTCATCTCACAGAAACAGGAAGATCCCAGTCTCCCCAGTGCATATTCACTTTCTGGAAACCAATTCAAGAGTCTCTGTTATCTGAACAATAACCCCCATCTGAAAAGTCAGGCACATTTGGCTTTAAGGAGCATTCAGCACAACTTCCAGCTCAGAACCTCAGGGAAACACTCACCCAGTCACCATTAGGTTAACAAAGACCTGTAAAGCCCACAAGGGACTCTTGTCACTTTCCTCCCACCCCTGCTCCCGAGGTCCCCCGACTCTTCCACTCACAGGAAATAAAGTGTGATCTTAGGCAAGTCACTTGATTTTTGAGATGCTTCTGTTTCCTGGTCTGTGTCTCTGGGAGTTCTGGAAGTAACTGCGCACGAGGCACTTTAGACACTGGTGAGACAGTGAGGCTTCAGAGGGATCGTCAGGAATCATAGCCAGAGAAGAGAAATAAATGTCATTCACTGCCTGTTTACCTGCCTTCTTGCTATCACAACCCTCAAAAGCCTGTGCTGGTGGTGGTGGGGTCAGTTCCAGGGCCTTGCACGTTCCTAGCCTTCATAGACACACAGGAGACCAGCACATTATCACCTAACACCCAGATCACCAGTTACCACCTCATGCTGGTGTGGTGGCTCATGTCAGTAATCGCAGCACTTAGGGAATGAGGCAGGAGAATTGCTACTAGTTTGAGGCCAGCATGGAAAACTGAGCTAGACATTCTCAAAACAACAACAACAACAACAACAAAATAGTAACTACTAAGTAAATAACTAATAGTCCCCTCAATGCCAATTTTGCTTCTACTATGCCCACTCCCACAAACCCTGCTGTTATATTTTGGAGTGTTCATATGTTTATTTTATTTGGATGCTTGTAGCTATGGCAGGAACTTCCCCACTCCACACAATGGCCAACCCCCTTTACTGCCTTAGCCTTGAGTCAAGGCCTCGCCATCATTTTACATGGTACCTGTATCTTTCCATCATTGGAGACAACTGAGTTTACAGCCACTGGTCTACTGGCAATGATGGAGTGAAGAAGCAAGGTGAGACAAATCAGGTAACGTTAGCCAACCTGCCTTTCTGCTGTCCTTGACAGAGGATAGAGCAGTCTCCATATTGGGGACAGAGGCCTGAACTGCTGAGACCTGGCTTGAGACTTGCATGCTCTCACTTTCCCTCTGTAGCTTCACTATTTGTAAAACTCAAGGTCGTACTGAATGATCTTTGAAGTCGCTTCCAGCATTGTAAAATGATGTGGTATTGAGACTCGTGGGTTAAATATCAGCTCCTTTCTTGATATCTGACAAACAGATTTGACCCTCAGTTTCTTCAGGTGTATGTGTTAAAATAACCTCATCTTCCTCCTTGCTTATTCCAGGATTCAGTGGGGCTTTCTGGAAGCAGGGGCTCAGGAGCATCATTCATTCACACAGCCAAGGCTTCTCCAGGGTAAGCATCCTCAGCGTTCAAGGTGTTGGAGACACACAGCAGGCACGTTCATCTCTTCCACCTGTAGCACTTAGAGCACTCCTGGATTGCTGGGGGAGTGTGGGAAGTGTAGTACTCCTGGGATTGCTGGGGGAGTGTGGAAGTGTAGTACCCAGGCTGCAGCCACCAGGGAAAACCTGGCAGCATGGCTGAGGTAGGAGAGAGATGGCCCCCCACTGCGGTGGGTTTCAGCTGCTTTCCCAGAGACTTTGCCTGCCCACCCTGACTGCCATCAGTCTGGGGCTCACTGTTCTTTCACCCTCCTAGTAACGGCTGCCTTGGCTACTGCAGTAAGCACTACAACCAGAGAAGAAAGGGCAGATTGTGGGACATGACACCCTATTCCCTGGAGTGCAGAGAAGAGGGGCCCAGCCTACCATCTCCCACTGCCAGGAAGGGCAGGGTAGGCATTAGGGGTTTTGGCTCAGACCTCAGGGTGGTCACTGGGTTCCACAGAAGCTGGCCAACCTTCATCTCTCACAGAGGCTCCCAGGCTAGGGTTACAGCAGGGGAGAGGCTGTGGGAATCCTGGGGCACCCATTCCTCTGTCCAGCTGGGGGGTCCTGGGCTTCTGCTGGGAAGAGACAGGAGCCTATACATTGTTGGGAACCCACAGCACCCACCGAGGGTTTGGCACATCTGGGTGATCAATAGAGGGTCTGTTTCATTATGATTAGGAGGGTTAAACAAGGACAGCCTCCGTCATTCACTTTTTACAAAAAATGTTTTTTACAAATGTGTCATAATTCTTTTGATTGAGAATCTCAAAAGTATAGGAGCCATGCGGGTGCATGGGCTGTCTCCGTCCCACCCAGGTTCCTCCAGGAGACACCAGCGTGCAGTTTCTTTGCAGCTCCCCACTTCTCTGATTCTGAGGATCCAGCCTAGGGCCTGGTCTACACTAGACAAGCAACCTAGGACTCAGCTGCATCTCTAGCCTTCTTACTTATAAAATTATTTTGGTTCAAGATAGGATCTCACTAAGTTGCCTAGACTGCTGGTCAACTGAGTTCCTTCTGAACCCTCCTGAGTAGCTGGAATCACAAGCCTGAGCCCCAGGCCCAGATGTGTCGAGATGCTGCCCAGAGCTGTTCCTCCCTGGACCTTTTCCCTTTGCCATCCTTTGTTCCAGTTGTCAATTATCCTTTCCTCAAATCAACACTGGCTGCGGTGATGGCGGCTGCTTCAGTAGCAATGTGTTCCTCAATACTTGCCCCAGTGTTCTGGGTTCCTGAATGAAACACACACACACACACACACACACACACACACACACACACACACACACACACACACAGAGTTCCTTAAATGGCTCAGTGGTTGGGCCACTCCCAAACCCCCATGTGGCTAATACATTCCCCTCCGATATTCCAGAGTTATTACTTACTGAAATCTATATTCCATTTTTGTTGTTCTAGACCCAGTCAGGGCCCCCCTGGGGCCAGTCTTCCCCGGCTCTTTCATGTTGGCTGTCTATCTGTCTGTACTTCTCAGGCATGGTTGCTACTCCTTTTCTAGGGTGGCAGTTCTATCTTTCCCTCTCTGTCTTAGTCCCTTGCCCAGGAATCCTAAAGTCCTACCTCTGTCTCCCTGCCCAGCCACTGGCCACTGGAAACTTTATTTACCAATCAAAACTGACTGGGGGCAGGGACCCTCAGTGTTTTATGTGCAGATTCTCCTGCAATCTTGGGGACCCAATTAACATAATTCAAGCATTTTGTCCATTAAAAAGGCCTTTTCTCTCAAAATACAATGAACATAGTTATAACACTTGTGTAACTATAAAGTATAATATACACTAATAACGTCCAGCTCATCAATTATGTCAACTTAGGAACATTATTCTAATAGCTATCCTTACTTAAAAAGTTTACAATTCTATACCTGAATCATGTTCGGATTTAAACTTGTATTATGATCTGAAAACCATCCTTTTAAATCTAGATCATCTTCCTTGATGTTAAAAAACTTAAGTTTGATTATGAGACTATAACTAGTCTTCAACCCTATCAGAGATCTGAGAATGAATTAAATACTACCTGAATATATAGAAAGCACAAAAACATAGCTTCCAAAACTTAAGCAATTTGCAGAGACAGCTGACAATCTGGACAGTCCCCTATTCCTCAAAACATTGGAGCATCTGCCTTCAGCCTTCTGGGACAGAACCGTCTAACAGACCTTAAGTGAAGCAAGAACTGTGAAGAACTAGTTTACTCTGTCTTGGCAGAGCTAAACTGTCGACTATCCCACATCTGTGTCCTTTCCTGGAAAGTATTTTTTGTCGGTAGATGAATTAGGGCAATTTTTGCTACCTTACTACAACTGGAGCAACCCTATATGGAGGTTATGATGCTCAATATTTTCTTTGAACCATGAAGGGAGGTACTGTCAGGAGCAGACATGTCTCTTAGTCAAAATTCTATTAATAATGAAATGATGTTAAATGCCCTATTTTGTAGATTTGTGATGTTTTTGAAGACTATCTATATAAAGTATATCTGAATTGTTAAACCTTGACTACTCTTAGCTATTTCTAATTAAATAATACTGAAAACACTTTATTATAATTAAATCAGAATCTAATGTAACCATGAGTTTGCTATCTGGCCCTTAACTTCTATTATTTAATCATCCTAAACAGTTTGTAATAACAGCTATTAGAAGGACTGTGTCTAAGCCTTGTATTCTTAAATGAGTTGCATAGGTACAATGCCTAGCTAAGAGTAACAATATTAATTTCAAATTGTGTATCAAAATATAAAGATTTATGCCAATGAAAACCTTAAACCTGTATCAATATATACTCTTTACCAGTGTAAGAAATTATAACCTTAA